AAGCGAGCAAATAGCTATGAAGAGAAGGCGAAAGAAATGAATACGAGTCTTAGTCACTAAGTAGTGCTCTTCGGGAGACTCGAAAAAGAAGGGAATCCGCGAGAGAATGTTTTCATTTCTCTCTCTATACCTATTCTTCTATTCCTAGCTGGGGTGGGGTTTGAATTGAATCTAAAATTCATCTTAGACAAGCGACAACCATATACGATTAAGAGATAGGCGGATCTTTCTTTGCCGTTGTTCAGTCATCTGCCTAAATTCTAGAAACCTTTTTCGGTGCTTCCGGCCATAGCTTCCCTCTCCCCTTTCGTATTTTCCAATCTCTATTGAAGAGAGTTCTGGGCAGGTGCTCCTCCAATTCAAATAGGTTGAAGGTCCTCTTTCTTACTAAGTTCATCTCTCTTTTAGTAGTAATAATGGTAAACATCGTGATCCTTCCTTTCGACTCGCCTGCTACCACCACACACTGACCTTAGACCTCCGGGCCTTCTTACTATTTAATTTACTATTATCTCTCCCGGCCAGAAAAGAAAGCGGATTACGCATCCTTTCTTTTCTCTCTCGGGCACACCTTAACTTACTTGGCTTTTGACTCTTTTTCTTCCGTCTATTACGCTTAACTGCAGTCGGAAGATTTTCCACCCCAAAAGCCCTCTTGACTGCTTGAACGCTTGCAGGAAAGCCCATCCCTCCTCCGAACCGCTATCCCACAATCACTCCTTTCCAACTCACTGAGCTAAGTCAGCTTTATTTTTTAAGCAACTAAGTAATTCCCGGAAGGAACGGAACAGCTTACGAAATGAAATTAGTAGCCTTCTTGGTTTGATCTTATCCGCTCTGATTGAATCAGTAAGCGGTCCTAGTGGAGTCCGTTTTTTTTCTGTTTTCACGAATCCCAATGGAAAGAAGCCCTCACTAAGGCGGGATGGATTGCTGCTAGGTTGATCAGCCGGGATTGGGGGCAGGGGAATAGCATAACATAATCTAGTTCAATCCTTTTTAGGAAGATCGCAGCGGGAAGATCTTATCTTGACGGAATTAGATTATATAAGAAGAATAGCTAGAAGGGAGGAATGAGGGCAAAGTCCTATCTATGAATGCTATGGGTCACTCGCTATCGTCTTTGCTTTTCCTGTTACCGAATCGACTGCGAACTCAGGGTTAGCTTAGTCAATTCACTCTTTTGTTTCAGAAGCTGGGATTGGACCGGCTTTCCCTTCTTAACCAGGTTCAAGTGAAGTTAGGAGTAAAAGAAGCCTTGGTGCCTAGCGAAAGCGAGTTCTTCCTTTTCCTTTAATAAGATAAGGCAATTGCCCGTGTAAAGGGAAAGCTACCAAACTCTCTTTAGATTGATGCTCGAGATCATTCCTTTTAGAGGTAACTGCAGGAGGTATCGCCATTCTTGCAGTGCTTATTCCTGAAAACCTGGTTGGAATGGAGGAATCAGAGGAATTCTCGTATAGTCAACAATCATTCCCAAGTCTCTCCTCCTTCTATCCTTTCTTTCATAACATCTGCTAGCAATCATTATTCTTTCTCTTTCTCTAAGGTGACTCGCGGCACACTTCGTATATGTATGATTGAATGCCGACAGCATTCGTTCAGAGTCGCCAAGAGACAGAAGAGCTTATTTCAAGCATTCCCCTTGAGGCGGGAAACTCCTTAATCATTGAACTGGGTATGAGAACTCCTCCCTTATAGTCGAAATTCTTCCAAGAACGGATTCTTCTTAATTAAGTTGATTTGATAACATCTGCTGCTGATTTCAATAGCCAAGTCAAGCTTTCCAGCAGGCGAGACAGATGCCGATTCTACCTCTGCCAACTCCCTCTTTATAGCAGGATTTTCTCCATCAATGGCAGCTCGATTGCCACGTGAAAGCTCTAAGTCAAGAAGTCAAGCCAGCAAGAAAGTCCGAAAGTCATCAGGTACGGTTTCATCATCCTAAGCTACCTCACCGCACTAGGTCCAGTCTATGGGCCCTTAGCCCAAGGATAGAGAGAGGGCTAATGCTTCGGTCATACTAGATTATGACCCAAGGCTTACCGAACTACCTTTGCCGTAACTCAGAGAGAGAAGGCCGCTCAAGCAGAATCTGAATCCGACTTTCGCTAAAGAAGAGCTCTTTACTGCTAAGCTGATCACAACTTCACATTCAAGAAGAGCAAGAAGACGACTCTAGCCCGCTTCTTCCCCTTCTCTTTCTTTCACTATTCCCACCTAGGTCCCCGGCTGATTGATGCTTTCTTCTTTGAACGAGAAATGTGGTCTCTTCCTGGATTCTGAAGTTTTTATAGTTCCTTTCGGGAACTAGGAAAACCCACGTTCAAAGTAGTCTTCTTCTCACGAAGAAGATGAGGCCCCCAGCGATGGGGGGAAAGAAGAGTGGGTATGCGGGCTTCTTTCACATTTTTCGGAGGTTTACAAGTATTGAATGAGGTTGCATTGGATCGGACAGCTTTTAGTTCTTACCCTCTTTTGACTGCTTGGTTATAGGACTATAGCGAGCTGGCCTTTTTTCTGAACATAGATTCCTAGGTTACGAAAGGACCTAGACTACTGAGAACAAACTGCACGTGAGTGATTTCGCCGTCATGTGATACGACATTTGATGATCCCAGAAAGGCGTAATCTATAATCATGACACCACCAACTGCTGCTTTTGGCATTCCACTTGGGATTGGGAAGAAAAGCATGATTTGAGATCGCTAGTCTTAGAGAGCTTGCTGGATGAGAGCAGAGTAGACTAGTTAGAGGAAGGCGCGAAGGGATGAAAGGGGCGAATTGATGCCAAGAAGAAGCTCTTTGAAAGTGAATCTGAAGGGCTTGCATCATATATAAGAGAAGAAGGGCTTACCGCTGTTGATGGTGAATAAGCGCTGTTGGCAATAACCGCTCTTAGCCCATCCGCTGCTATTGAATCAGATGGGAACAAAGCCCCTGCCCTTCGTCCCTGGAACAGACTGTAGCAAAAGCCGAAGGAGATGCGAATGCAGATTCGAAGGTGGTTGCGTCAGGAGCACGTCTGGTGGTATCGTATATAAGATCACTGCTTCTTTTAGGGCGGATTCGTTCACATCGGATTTTTGTCCGTGGGTCTATCTTGACTATTGGTTCACTGTGCTCCATCTCGACTTCTAAACTATCTGATCATGTCCGCTCCTTCTCTTTCTCCTTCTATAGCTGCTTTCTTCCGAACAGCCTATTCTATGTGCCTAGTGTCAGAGAGACCTTTCTTCTATACGCGATTTCCTTGCCTTCCCTCTTCATTGCTAACCTCATCTCGTCTTATTCCGTTCGTGCCCTACGACTAGTAGTTCACTCACTCCCTAAACGGACACTTTAACAATAAGAATAAGGATTTCCGGGATCTAGCCTTAGTTTCTTTTTGAATCTAGTCTTTCTTTGTCTCTTTTCGATTTCCCGCAGGAAAGATAGCAAAGGAGACAATCCCACCCCCAACTCCCCATCTGTCAATGAGTTGCTGACCTAAGCTGTCGCTACCCCCTTCTTATAGAGAGTGCCCCGGGGAGATGCTTCCTATCGGGCAGAGAAATAAATGGAAAGACGCATGCCATGATTCTGATATCTTCTTTTGCTGCTGCTTCTGCTCTTTCTCGCCTTTCTTGCTCGCTTCCTCGGGGCCGGGGCTGCTTTTCAATCTAGCTGATTGAATCTTTCGTCTATCATAGAAGTTGACAATAAACAATGAATAGCAGTAGCCTCAGTAACAGCATCAATTATAGCACAATTCCCTCTACTGTGACTGATTCACCTAACGCCATAGCAAAAATAACAGTTCCTATCATAGCAGCCAATGCTACTGTTCGAGTGTTTGGCTTAAGCTGCAACGGATCAATCAAATACCTCAGGTTCGGTAAACGTGTCTATTTATTACTTTTTTGTGTATTCCGGAATGGACACATTGAAAACCATTCGACCTCATCGGGCACTCAACAGCTTCCTAAAGTGCACTCGCTTATCAGTCGTAACACTAACGCACTCCTCTATCCATCTATCTATAGAAAACCCCGGCAAAGGACTTTACTTCTTTTTTTTTTCTTTTGTGAAAAATCCGAATTTTTTGTCCTTTTGATTTGAGTTCATAATAACTGGCAGGTTTCATTAATGAAAAGAAAAGCGGAGGCCCGCCATCTGCTAGCATTGTGTTTTGGAATCGATTCTTTATCAATGGCCCACCCTTTCTTTGTCTGCCTCGCTCGTTGTCACCTATATTGAAGAAAGAAACCCTGTAGAGAATGAAGAGGGGCCTAGGATCTTCTTCTCAACAGTGCTTCTCGAGGCTCCCCCCTGAATAAGTAAGGCCCCGTTAGCCTGGGCGAAGATGGGGATAAGGAATAAGGATTGAAGCCCCCTTAGCTCTGCCAGGCACTGGACAGGGGTTAGCTCGGTAAATGTGTAGAGCCAAGTGTAGTATGGTGTAGTAGTAGGCACTTCTAGGCCCCTTCCCTATACTGGATCACTCCAGTGCTTTGGGTACTACGGACCCTCTGCCATCCATTGCAGCAGAGCCGTTTCATGAGCGGGGGGGCTAAGCGCAGTTCTTTGAATCAAACGTTGAATGAAATCGATTCTTTTTTAGATATCAAAATGGAAATCGGATAGGATAGATGGATGGATCTATCTTTCCATTTATATATTACTAAAGGATTTATATAGTTAAGTAGCGTAGCAAGAAGCCCCAAATCCTTGATTTGGCCAGGAAAGACTGCACTGCTTTGGGCCCAGGATGCGAAGGGAATGAGCTCGGCTGCTTCTCCTCCACACTGATTTTTCTCCGTGCCTGCTCCGCATGCGCTTCGCGCGCCATTGGCGCTTTGCTCTCCTCTTATTCTTCATTGGACGGTTCGGTTCGGATGGACTTCGCCGTTCTTTCCCAACTAAAAAAGAAAAGGCTGTATCACATCGAGATGTCGATTCGTTTTCCGCCCCCAATGAGATGGGGAATTTGTAACCCCCTATTTATACTTTGGGGCCCTTCATCTTTCTGAATCCAGGCCCGTCCCGGCTCGCGTCGTTCCAACAACCGGCGGGGAGCACCTCAGTATACGATCGCGCGCAGTAACTGGGAGTCCTATTACACCTAAGGCGAACTTCAATTCACCAAACCAAGGTTCATCTCGTGTAGTGATTGTGGACTCTACTAAGGATATTGAGTAGACGGTTGATGTATCAGACTCGACCCTATCTTTCGTAGCATGCATTCCCATCGGTGTCGCAACTGATTCGGTAAGCTACGTGTCCGGTGCACGGAGAACTGCCTTCGGTCCTCCAAACTTACTTATTCGTGGCAACCTTCCGGCCGCCCAACGACCTATAACGCTAGTCACTACTCCCACTGGGGCTAGGAAGTAAGCCCCACAACCCAAAGCGGCGAAGAACAAATAGAATTTGCTACAAAAGCCGGCTAACGGGGGTATTCCTGCGTATGAGAACATAGTAATGGAGAAGGTAATAGCCAAAATAGGATTCGTTTTGGCTAGAGCGCCCAAATCCGCTATATATTTGACACGGGTTTGCCGTAATGCTGAAACTATGGCGAATGCATCCATCGTCATTAATGCATAAATAAAGATACCAATTAGTAGTGATTGAATTCCTTCTATGGTTCCACATGAGAAACCAGTACGAATATAACCTACATGTCCAATTGAACTATGAGCTAGAGGTCTTTTGACTTTCGTTTGGGCCATGGCGGCCAGTGCTCCTAAGATCATAGAAGCAATGCTGCAGAAAAAGAAGATTTGTTGCAATGTAGCTCCATAGGAACCATAAATAGAAACACGTAAAATATTAGCAGAAATAGAGATTTTAGGCGCAATAGAAAGGAATGCTGTAACCGGGGTGGGTGAACCCTCATAGATATCTGGTGCCCACATATATAGAGTCAAAAGGAATATGGAGTCCGAGGGGGAGGGGGTTTTCTTCGGGGCTCGAGAGATTGAATAGACCCACAAGTTTTCAATTCGCCACTGGGGAATTCACACGAAAGGGAACGAGGAATTCTCAACGAAAAAAGTGCTCTCTGAACCGAACGTGAAAGTTTTTTTCCATCAGACGGCTGTTCCTGTAACTCCACTCTCGACTTGGATTATATATCCAAAAAGGTCCGCTCTCGGCCATTCCACACGCTGCCTAGCCGAGGTGTGGTTATCTGAAGTGGATTCTCTCTTTTCTAGTAGATGCCGAACCTGCTGCCCCATTGACTAAGAAGAGGGGCGGGCGCAGCAGCTACATGGACCCCTTCCTTTCTGTTGTTGCCAGCGCTTTCCCGGGCCGAGCCGGAATTTTTTATTATATTCTAATGGGCAGGCAAAGCCCGCAGGCTGCTATCCCAATAGGCCAGCGGGCGGAACGAGGATAGGCTCCGGCAATCATAGCACCGCGGTCGAAAAAGCGTGCTCCCTTCAGATAACACGCACCGTAGGCCATCCTCGGCCAAGAAAGAAAATCTCTCGATCTCCGAAAGCCTTTTCCTTCCCCCGCCGCCTGGCCCCCGTTAGAGGGGAAGGGGAAGATTAGCAAAGCGAAAAAAGACAGAGGGAGGGGGAGCAGCATCTTATTCTCTTCGCGATAACTTCCGGATCGAAGAAGCATTCGGAACGGGCTCCGCGTTCATTTCGTTGGCGGAAACGATCTAATCCATTCGGGGCTTCGGCCAAAAACGAATTCGACTTGATTCATAGATAGAATCAATGATAAATAAACAAAAGATAGATGAACGAGATATCTTTTCTTTCTATAAAAAAAAGAGGAATAGAATAGACATCCCTTTCTTTAGATGTCTATCTATCCTTCCGATTTTATATCGTTATATCTGCTCTCTCAATTTTTTTATAGAGAGCAGATAGATCCTATCCCCTATATCGAACACTAATTCCTATCTATTGATAGGAAGATCTTCGTCTAATAGCGGACTTTGCCTTTTTTTTTAGGAATTTCTCATATCCAAGGCAGCTTACCACAAGAACCCTACCCCATACGACTAGTTGGGGGGGGCTGTTCGCCTTTTGAATCAAACAAAGTAAGTTGTAGGTAGGGGCTTCATAGCTACTTTCATTCTAAAGGAAAGCGAAGAACCAATCTTTAGTCAATAGGAGCCCTACTTCCCGAGGTCCAACGGAACTCGACTGAAAGGAGAGGGACAAGGGCGGTCTTGCTTGGCGCGAAGGCTGCTGGTTTGGGGGTACGGTACTAAAGGTCCTCGGACTTCCAGGCGGTTTTGATTTTGGGCAGCTGTTCACCGTTGGATCTCGCCAATACAGCCCCCTATGGTTTTTGTTACCGAGATATCTTTTTTTTTCATTGTTCCCAGGGATTTTTTGGGTAATCTGCTCCCATGCTGCAAACAGTCAAATCAGAACTCAACCTTGTCGCTCTTCTTTCTTTCCTCGCGGGCAGGAAGCACACCAGCAGCGTGCGTTGCGTGATTCTACTGTGTTTTTTTGCACTTGACTGGGTGGACAGTTGACCGGAAGAGAACTTCGATTCGCCCGGCCAGCAGGCGGGCGGCGTGCTTATCTTGTGTGACAACACTACAGAGCGAGTGGCTCTTCTAGGCGGGCAGCTGTGTGACAACACTACAAGGTTTTTTTCCTCGTGTAACATGCTATGGTCTCAATGCCCTTACGAGGTAGTGATGAGTTTCACTCGCTCTATAAGCCCGGCCCGCGCGCGGTTAGGAAGATTGGCCGCAATCTGAGCGGTACCACCCACCCTACCCTACCACCTATAGGCGGCCGTCCGTCCTACAGCCGCCCGAAAAGGAACTGCAGTGATCTTGAATAGGAATCCTACAGCGATAGATAGAATCCCCATAAAAATACCACTAGATCGAGCACCAGTGATTTCGTATCCGGTCAAAATCTTGGCTAATTGATCGAAGTGGGTAGCTCCAGTAGACCCATAGATCATGGAACAAATAGGGTGGGTAGGCCCAACCACCACACTACACGTATAGACGCGAACCCCCCTCGTTACCGTACGTGCGACTCTCACCGCATACGGCTCGCACAAAGACTCCTAAATCCATCCCGAGCCTTTTCTTCCCACCTCTCCTTTCAGTCGAGTTACTAATAAAGTACCTCTCCAATCCTCGATCAAACTTGCCCAGGCGCTATTAAATAAATGGAGGGTCTTTCCTTCGCCTATCGTATATTGTATGTATCGGCTTGGCTTCGTCCAAAACTAAAACAAGGAGGCATTCCGGCGGGCGCGTGCGTGTAGGAAGGCCGACCATTACATAAGCTAAAAGACTAGGACTACAAGCCAGCCGGAAGCGACTCGCTTCTATTCCCCGTTGGGATTGGATATAGATGGGGAATCTATTGATCGTAGTAGTTCGCCAACCTCTCTAACTAACATACGATCAAATTTTCGGCACGGCCAAAAAAAGAAAGAGCTTCGCTCGGTGGGCCTTCCTACGCTGACGAATGCCTCCTTTCTCTTCTCTTCAGTCTACAACAAGTGGGAGAGGCAGGATTCGAACCTACGTAGAAAAACTTCAACAGATTTACAGTCTGCCGCTTTTGACCACTCGGCCACTCTCCCCTTCCCGGGCCGAGGCCCCCTCAATGGGTTCTAAGAAGGAGGTTTTTTTCCCTGAATCAATAAAAAAAAGAAACTTATTGATTTGATTGAAGGGAACTAATACTATTTCTTAGCTTAGCTAGCGTTCCGGGAGAATCTAGTCATTTAGTCAATTCATAACAATCTCTGTAAAGCAAGTGGCAAAGCTTCTACGACAGCTTCCCCCTCATGTAGTCGTCGGCCTTCCCCAGCCCCCCTTCGTCGCTTCTGGCGAAGCTGCGAGCCTACCCTTCTCGAGCCTACTTAAATAGCTTACGCTTACCAAGCCTAGTCTACTAAAAGAGGGCTACAGTAAGCAAGCTTTCCCCCTTTGTTTTTGTTGTGGGTCGCGCCTCACCGCAGGCACTGAATGAATGAAATGAGTGGAATGGTTAACCTTCCCCCTTTTGAATTACCAAGAACTTCGTTGCCACTAGTGGCGAAGCAAATTTCAACCATCCCACCCGAAAACCACTCGGAGCCTAAAGAGAGTTCAGTCTACAAGAAGCTGGCAGAGCTTTAGCCATTGGACTACATCGCACTATCCTACCTAAACCCTTTTCTTGTTTGTTCGGATTCTTTTCTTTTTCGAATGAGGCTAGTGGAGACAAATTCCTTCCGACTAATGAAGAGATACTACTCCAGTCTTCCCATTCATTCCCAGTTGATCCTTCTTCTTCCTAAGAATTTCACGAACCAAGTTCACCTATACGAGAGTGAGGAATCAAAACCAACAATCAACTTCCCACTTTTTACACGATTCAGCTAGTTTAGAAACAAAGGAGAAGGACAGGGGCCGTTAGGTCAGAAAAGCGATAACTAAAGTTAGCAGGTAGAGTCCCCTCTCTGTCTGTTTCTCCGAGTTTCTACTACTAAGTAGCACTTCTGCTATTCAATCATAGAATCGATTCCGATCAAGCTGAAAAAGCCCTTTCTAATTAGTAAAGCGCTAACGCCCAACCTATAGATAGGGCCCTCTCTTGCTCGTTAGCGCTTTAGTTTGATTGCAGCTAGCGCGCCCCCTTTCTTTCTCAAAGTCAACTTTCTCGCTTGTTAATTCAAGCTTTGAAGCCCTACCTTTTGGGATATTTGAAGAAGCGCAGGTTTGGAACCCTATACAAGGGGCTGGTCTCGATCTCGCTTGGTGGTGCCCCTCTCGATGATTGTTGACTCAACATTGATTTTGTGCTTGAGTTGGAGGGCTCTCCCTCCATCCATCGAGTCAAGTAAATCGCTATTGGAAATTTTTCCGCCGCCTATCTCATGCCATGCTTCTTTTTTCTCCGAATCGGTTCCTAGTGTCAGTCAATCAAGATTCGCCATCAATAGAGGGAAGAGCCTTTACTTTAGGTTAGGCCGGTCTCGTCATTCACGCAATTCCCCCGTCCATCGATTGATCACGCGAGTACGCATCCAGTCAGCACATAGCGAATGAAAAAAGCGTTCATCCTGGATTCTCTTCCTCAATCAAAATGTCTATCAATTGATCCCTATTCATTCGGTCAAAGTCTCCACGGCGTTTTCACGCCCCTCTACTAAACTAAGGGGTGCACCATGTTGATAGGAATCGGCAAAGACCTTCTTGTACACGTCCTCGAGGGCTGCATTCATGGCAATCAGAACGTCTTTCTCCCGAGGGCATGGTATGGCTTTGTTCTTGGTGTTGTTTAATAGATGTCGAGTGCCGCTTTTCCCCGTCCGAGAATCTCCATCTGCTTTAAGTGGGCGAACTAGAATCCTTATGTCAGGTTGGTTGTTCAAAAGACCTTCTCGCTACGCCCCTTTGCATCTTCATCTTTTCGGAAGCCCAGACCCATTCTTCTGGATCTTCATTAGTCCTATTTCAGGTGCAAAGCTTCTTCAATAAAGACCTCTTTCTCTCTTTCTTTTCTTTCTCCCCCATTTCTCATTTTGTTGATTGAAAGAGAATAAGCGCTATCCATTGAGTAAAGGGAAGGTTTGCTACAGTGATTCGGGCGGTTGGTGGCCCCTTCGAGAGTTGCGGGTCCTTGCCGCGAGTGGTAGCTCACGCTCAAAACTCCTCCGACACGAGTCCTAGTCGTTGCGCTGCGGTCCGTTTCCCGGCTTCGCTTGCGCAATTTGCACTTCTGATTGGTTCCATCCATCCCCGACCCTAATGAATCGAGTATGAAGGGGTCAGTCAAGCGGTTCGGGTTTTCGGTCGGTTCCCGTTCGCCTGCCCCCCTCATAATCCATTAGTGGGTGGGGTGGTAAACTTAGAGGCGCCCGCCTCCTCTTCAGACGTGTCCTCGACAACCTGGCGGTTGTTCGGTCTCCGCTTTTGGGGGCGGGAGTGCTTGGTCGCAGGGCTTTCCTTTTTCTCAACCAATTCGGTTGTGTCAGCCCTGAGATTGATCTAACATTTTGTTATGAGCTGGCTAGACAAAGATGGATGGAAGGTAAGATAGATTTGAGTTCAAGTGGCACAGGACCTTCGATCGACCATAGGGCGTATTCTAGCCTTACCGAATTCATTCTATTGAAGCGTAACGTCAAAAAAAAAGCTCCTTCTCATATTGCATTTCTTTGGTTTGGAAGTTCCAGAATGTTGTCTGTGGATTTCTTTTCTAACAAAGGAAAGCCCCCTAAGACTATTGGTGTTAATGGGCTTATCCCTAAGACTATGCCATTTGATTGATTCAAGTTCCGTGCTGCTCACCACTCCTCGAGGCCAAGGACGGGGTCGAACCGTCATTCCAGGATTTGCAGTCCGATACATTTCCATTATGTTACCTAGCCAAACCCGCCACCTCATGTGCCAAAGTCAAACGGTTGTTCTTCCTTCCCCGCTCCCTCCTTTTCTACATATGCGGTGGCGGGTTACCAGAGAAGAGGGGACAACTTCTTTCTCCTTTGCCTTGCTCAATCTTCCTTTTCTGATTGAAAGTAGCAAGCGACTCCACCAGATAGAAGGTTGCTTCTTCTATATGTTCAGGCGAAGAACATCTCGAAGCTAGCTCTTGTCTTGTAAGCAACCATGCCTATATAATAATAATAGAATCGAATTTTGCTTACCATCTTACTAAAAGTAAGTAAGCAACCAGTTCTGTTCCAAGTGACATGGCTTTTCACTATTCCTTTCCAGAGAAGGTTGCTCATCCAGCCCAGCGGATCCATTGTTTATGCGGCAGTGCAATGCAGCTGAAAAACGTAAGCCCCTTTTTATTAGTAAGGTATAGGTTGGGGAAAACTCCAAAACTAGGGTTCCAAAAAGCTTACCTTATATTAGAGAAAAGTTTTCGAAAGGGGCACCCCTACTATACCCCTAAACTACAAGCTAGCGCGCAACGGCTTTTCAGCCGTTGTTGCTTGCTGCTTGCAGGCTCGAAAATCTCTCTTTCGCTTCTCCTCCCTGTCTCCATTCTGATTGATTCGCTTCTCTTCCTTCGCGCAAGCGCTTGGTTCGCCCCTTGTTGTGTTGCATTTTGTGATCCTCCGCTTCAGTCTGCGTTTTTCGGATAGCCGGGATCCGACGTTGATTTCCGATTTAAATGTCAGCTCCAGGTTTTGGGCGGCCCATCTGGTTAGTTCAGCTATCACTGCTGGAAGCCCCTGCGGTTGTTCGGCCGAACTCGTTGGCTCCGCGCTCTATTCGGTCGGAACCCGGTTCGAGAACCTTCTTTCATAGATTCCCTTCACCAAGTCATCGCCAGCAATCAGGCTTCGCACCTTGGTGTCAAAGGGCGAGTTCCTTTCTTGTCTTGCCCAAAAACGATTTTTATTCTCATTGGAGAAAGACTCTCCCGCGGCAAGGTTTTACACATAGGGTCAGCTGCTTTCTTTATCTCGCTTGCCGTTAGTCCGTCTAGCGCCTTTCGGTTGGGGTCCGCCCCGGGGGTTAGACCGCTTGGGTTATATTTTCGAGTTTGTTTCGAAGGCAGTCAACGTGTCAGCCATTCTTCTCCCATTAGACTTGTAAATCCTTTGCTCTCTTCCAGTTCTCTCCCTCTACTTTATTTGACAGGGGCGGAGAATACTACTCTCTATCAATAACAAGAAAAAAGTAGCAATTCAGTTTCAAATGGTTTAAGCTTGGAAGCAACCTGCTATCTATCGATAGGCGAGAACAGACTGCTATTGGCTGCTTCGCCTATCTATTCTATTATGGCCGGCTTGGAGACATCAGAGGAAGACCATCATCTCTATCCGGGTACGATCATAGCTTCATTCATTCGTTGAACCTTGGGGATAATCACTAGCATTGAAGTCAATCACCACACCACCTCTATCATACATACGACATTAGACGACGCGAGAGTGCATGGTCAACACACACCTAAAGCGCCGACGTTCCGCTTGCAGCCAATACAACCACAACCTAACTT